TCCTCAAGGTTTGTTTGCTTTTAGTTTCTGCTACAGGGCACAAGAGAAAGTGAGAGATGGCCTTCCCCCCCCCAGAGCAGGGATGGCCATGCTACAAACCCGTCTCCTCCATTCTCCTCTCGGGATCTGGCGTATGCACACATATGGCCCAATGTGGGGTTTTGGAGGTTTCTTCTTTTAAGAATTACTTTTATTTAACTTACTTCCTTCCTTTCTTCCTTATTTTATTTATTTTAATGTGACCTGAGAGGGACAGAGAAAGAGAAACAAGTTGCCAGGTCCAGGACTTGAACTGTGGTCGGCCATGTGAGACTCCACTGCCCTCAACCACCATGCCACCCACTGGCCCCCCAATGTGTTTTTCAAGCTGCCAAGTCTAGGACTTAAACCATGCAGTCAGCCATGTGGGATCCAGCAACTTAACCACCACACCACCTGCAGTCCAGATTCTTTTTTTTTGACATGAACTTGGACCTAATCAGACCTCCTGGGAGTTCAAGATTTCTAGGACAGTAAATTTCAAACACTAACAAGGTCCAGCAAGTGGCCAAAAGTGTAGGGACTATGGCAGAATGAAGGTGGTCACTGGTATTGAAGAGCAGGCTGTTCAAGAAATGCTTGCTAGGACCAGCAGTTAGCGTAATGGCTATGTCACTGGACTCCCATGTAGTTGACTGCGGTTCACGTCCCGAACCCGGTGGCTTAAACTCACGCCGGGCATGTATGCATGCATGCCCAAAATCCCAAGAGGAGAATGGAGAAGGGACTGCAGCATGGCCATCCCCCCGGGGGGTGACTTCTCATTTTCTGTCTCTTTGTCTCTCTCTGTCTGGCGAGCACACGCGCCCTATAGCTAAAACCTCTTCAAAAAAAAAAAAAAATGCTTGCTGTGCTTTAAAAAAATCAATCTTGTAACTCTGCATAAACTAAATAAAAAAGAAACTTAGTTATAGAAACCATGACATTCTTCTTTTTTTTTTCGAGAGTTTTTTTTGCTATCAGGTGCATGCGCTTGCCAGAAAGACAGGCAGAGAGATAGAAAGCAAGAAATCACCCTCCAAGGGGGATGGCCATGCCACAATCCTCCTCCATTCTCCTCTCGGGATCTTGGGCATGCACGCACATGCGCCCGGCGTGAGTTTAAGCCGCCGGGTCTGGGACTCAAACCGCGGTCGACTACATGGGAGTCCAGCGACATAGCCATTACACTAACTGCTGGTCGAAGCCATAACATTCTTAATGTTTGGTTAACTTAATGACTTAGCTAAATGAGGCTTAGATGACCAATGTATAACCCTATTTCCACCAGTAGCTTTGCTTCTACCTTCCACACTGAAATGCCATTGTAAATAACACATCACATCCGACACAAAGCAATGAAGACCTCACTCATCTCCTTTAAAAGCCTGATTTAAAGATTTCCATGCAAAATTGGAATCGCAGGGGCCAGCAGATGGCATAGCAGTTATGTCACTGGGCTTCAACATGGCCAATCACAGTTTGAGTTCCAGACCCGGTGGCTTGAAACTCACTGGGCATGTGTGGGGGTGTGTGCATACCCAAGATCTCCAGAGAATGGAGAAGGGACTGCAGCATCGCCATCCTTCTGGGGGTTGATTTCTCACTTTCCCTCTCACTATCTCTGTCTCTCTCTCTCCAGGAAGCACATGAGCACGAAGGCAAAAACCTCTACAAGAAAAAAAAAAAAATTGTAAATATCTCACATCTATTTTCTACTTTACATGTCATTCAGGGTAAGTATATACTAGAACCAGTACCCCACAGTTTGAAGAAGGCACTACGCCTCTGGGAAGGTCCACGTGTTTTGGAGACATCCTAAGAACTCTCAATGTTTGAAAAATCTCCCTAGAGAGCTCTTTACACTTGATGGTTCATTATAGCTTGGCATAAGTTATTTCCATATACAGAAAGACTATACGTCAGCAATATTCTCAAGTCTGGTTTTAAAGGACGTAAATTCTTAAAATTTCTGTATATATTTTCCCCAGTTATCTACCTGGATTCTGGAAAAATCCAACCATTTATTTTGTAAATCTTTCCTTTCACAAGCAAAACCAAGGGACATGATATAAATACTACCTGAAGAAACTGTACTCCAGATGGCTGCGATTATGTGGTCTGAATCCTTGAAAAAGTACAATGAAGTCTTACTAATTACATTCACTCATCTAATACTCATAACACCCGAAATCAAAGTAAAATAATCCACTTGGAAATGCAAGACTATGTGGGAATTTAGTCAAATTTACACTGATCGCATGATATAGAGATAAAACCACAGGCTCTGGCATAACCCCATACTGAATGACACTGAACAAGCTACTTCATTCACCCTGCTGATCCTTAATGTCCTCATCTACAATACGGGGATTAAGGCCTACCTCATAACAGTATTCAGGATACCCCAAACATCAACTCCCTCTGCTAGTACATTCCCTTTCTCTCTTAAAAATGTGCTGCAGGGACCAGCAAATGACATAATGGGTACAGTGCTGGATTCCCACATAGTTGATCATGGTTCAAGCCCCGGACCTGGTGGCTTGAAACCCATGCCTGGTGCGTGTGTGTGCGTGCGTGCCCAAAATCCCAAGAGAACAGAGAAGGGGCTGCAGCGTGGCCAGCCTGAGAGATGATTTCTCACTTTCTGTCTGTCCTTCTGGCGAGCGCACATGCCCTATAGCAAAAATCTCTCTTAAAAAAAAAATTAGACGCATTCACATAAAACTGGGCAAATTTGAAAACCAGTTCCTTCAAAATGGTGCGAAAATAGAAGTGTAATATCTATCCGAAGTTAAAAAGGACCATCTAACAAAGACCAGAAGGATAAACTGGGAAAAAAGGTTTAACATGTTTCCATTAATTAAATTAAAAGTGCATGGGAGGGGCCAGCAGGTGGCCTAGTGGTTAAGGGTGCTGAACTCCTACATGGTTGACCACAGTTCAAGTCCCAGACCTGAGGGCTTGCTTTCTCACTTTCCCTTTCTCTCTCTCTCTCTATCTGTCCTTCTCTGGTCAAATTAAAATAAAAATAAAGTTAAATAAAATAATTCTTTAGGAAAAAAAAGTGCATGGGGGAAATGAATGTTTTTAGGCACACAACAAAAAGAAAAAAAGGAGACAAGATCTAGAATCTCTGGGAAGCCCTCTTCATCTTAAAGGGGACCCTAATAATTCTCATTCAACAAATGACTGCTCATTTGTTCCTAATACTTGCTAGACAGTAGTTTTGGAAACTCAGCTCTGACCCCTATTAGGGCAGGAAAATTTTGTATACATCTCAAAACCAGCTGCATGGTCCTACACCCAAGAATCTAAAACTGTTTTCTTGGTATACTTTGTTTTTTGGGGGGAGAGGTTTTTGCTATAGGGAGCGTGCACTCGCCAGAAAGAGACAAAGAGATAGAAATCAAGAAATCACCCCACCCCCAGGGGGATGACACACCGCAATCCCTTCTCCTCCATTCTCTTCTCAGGATCTTGGGCACGCACGCACACACACCCAGCGTGAGTTTAAACCACCGGTCCGGGACTCGAACCGCTGTCGACCACATGGGAGTTCAGCGAAATAGCCATTACCGCTAACTGCTGGTCCCACGGATACTTTCCAAGTCTTAAGTGTTCCTCAGAATGCTTCTAACACTGTTCTTTCTCACTTATAGACCTGACATTACTTAATGCTGTGCCTCCTAGGCTTGGAATTGAGTTAAGACCTGGCACACTTGCCAACAGGCCCCTTCTATCTACCTGCTACTCACATCACATCCAGGTCTGGTAACTCAGGACTCCAAGGCTCAGTTGAAACCTCAGTGTTTCAAAGTTTGCACTCTCCAGCAAACACCTGATCTGAATCTACCTACCATTAGGATATGTCCCTAGGGCTCTGATACCTTGTCTTCCTATATCAGGCACTAAGATCAGGGACTTCAGGGTCACTCCCAAACTGGGTCTAGCACCTTGACTCTCTTTGAACATCTCAAGTTCCGGTGTTTCCATGCCTGGGACGCCAGGGGCTTGCATGCCCCTATCCTGGTCCATGCCTGTATCAGGGAGGGCACCTCTGGAATTAGGAGTGCCTCCATTCGGGCCACACCCTAGGCTGCCCCCAAAGTCCGTGCCAGGCCATCACCCTCTTTCCCCTTAAAGCCTCCAGACTCGTCCCCAGCCTCCACCCCACGCCTGCGCCGTAGAGGGTCATCGCCCCTGCAGCCCAAGCCCAAGGCGCGCGCATCCCTACAGCCTCCCATTCCTTCTTCACCCCCCAGGCCGGAGTCGGCGCGACCAATAAGGTGCCAGGTCCGCGGCCTCCCCGCCACGGACCAATCACGAGCGAGCCCCCCCGCCGTCGCCTTCCGCCCATGG